ATACCAGGGTTCTCTGAGATGCTGACATTAGGGAAGTGGGGTGAGGGAGGGGGGAGTATCTTTGTTCTATCTTTGCAACTCTTCTGTAAATCTAAAATCTTACTTAAAAAAAAGTGTTGGGGCCACACAATAAATTATGAGATCAGCCTAACTGTGATCCCCATTTTAGGAATGTGGAAGTAGAAGCTCAGAGAGGTTGGGTGCCTTCCTGAGGTCACACTGCAGTGGCAGACTCCTGAGCCAGGCTTCCTTGCCTCCCAGAGCTTCGCACTCTGACCTTGAGGATGCTCCCTAAAGCCCTATGGTGTGAGTGTTGTCATTCCCATTTCAAGGTACGGAACCTGAGGCTCAGGGTGGTGACACAGTAAAACCAAATTTATGGAAACCCAGGTCTCTGTCCACAGCATGCTTTCTGCCCTTGGCACTCTGGGTCCCCAGGTGTCCCCCAGAGATCATGCTGCCCCGCCCCGCCTGGCCCACCTCCTCCACCAGCAGGCTCTGGAGCTCGCGCTGACAGTCCTGCATGCGCTGACGGTCCGCGCTGTCCACCACCCAGATGAGGCCGTCAGTGCTCTCAAAGTAGTTGCGCCAGTAGGAGCGTAGGGACTTCTGGCCACCGACATCCCAGACGTTCAGCTTGAATCTGGGCAGAGAGCGGCTGGTGGTCAGCTGGTCCTCCCCACCCGCCCCCCCCTCGGGACAGGCCCCCGGCCCCGCTCACCCCCGGTGCTCCAGTGTTTTGATGTTGAAGCCCAGAGTCGGGGAGATGGTGTCCACATCTTCCCCGTTGAACTTCTTGAGGATAGTTGTCTTGCCGGCATTGTCCAGGCCGCTGGGGCACACAGGTTAAGGAGAAGTCCCTGCGCTGTGCCAGTGGTGATGTCATCCTTAGGGACTGACAATTTCCCATCATGTCAAAAAGAATTGAGCACGTGCTGGCCCATAACTGGCCTGGAGAAAGCATGGAACTAGCAAGATATAGTGACTCCAAAGGCCCAGGCCGGAGGATCACAGTTTCGCAGTCAGCCCCTGCAACTTAGCAAGGCCCTAGGCAACTTAGTGAGGCCATCTTAAAACAAAAAATTAAAAGGTCTGGGCATGTGGCTCGGTGGTTAAGCACCCTGGGTTCACTTCTCAGTACCAACAACAACAAAAAGATATAATTGTATCATCTCTGCTAATCAAAAGCTCTTTAATTCATATAAAAAATATTGATTGAACACCTACTATGTGCCAGGCCCTCTCTAGGTGCTAAGGGACAGAGTCCCTGCCCTTATGAAGCTTGCACTCTTAGTGAGGAGACTGTGATAAAGTGCAACTGAGAAAATAAGATCCTGTGAACGTGGCAAGCCCCAGGGAGTCACCTTGAGGGGCAGCTCCTGCCAGGGAAGGCTCCCAGAGGCATACTGAACTGAGGCCTGAAATACAGGGAGTTAGCTTTTTTGAAGGGCTGAAGGAAGAGCAAATACACAGAGCCAGAAACCTCCATCTCTGTTTCTGGAATGCTCCACAACCTCTGGTGCAGAAAGCAGAAGAATGGATAAGCTCACCGGTGGGAGAGAACCACCCACKCTCCTTTCAACACTTAAGGCACTTGTAGCCGGAATGGGGCTGGGGGGAGGTCCTAGGCTTAGTGCCTCTTCCTGCTCACTGGACCTGGGACCAATGACTTCAACCTGTAAAATGGAGGCGAGGAGAGTACCTTTCGGAGACCTTAGTCCCTGAAAACTGGCTCCAGATTCTCCCCATCTCCCTAATGCTGTCCTCCATCTTTCCTTCTCCCCCACATCATCCCTGGCAGCTGGCAAATATGCTATTGTTTCTCCCCCTCAGATGCCGCAAACAAAACCCTCTCCATCCTCTGCCCCAGGGACTCACTCCTCCCTTCCCTTTCACAGCACACCTCCTGCCACAGTTGTTCAGCTCACCAGAGCCTCTGTTTCCCTGCTCTTTGTTAAACATGTGGCCCAGCAGACTGTGGCTCCCACTGCTTCCCAAACCTGTTCTTGCCAAGTGGGTCCTCCAGACCTCCCCCACTGCTAGTGGGCGGTGGCCCTCACCTGCAGCACCTGACAACAGTGGCTCACCCTCCTTCCTCCGCGCCCTGCCTGACTTCTTATCTGTATTTCCACAACTCACTTCTCTGTGCACACGGTGCTCCCTAGGTGAGTCCCTCCGGGATCAGAGCTTCAAACGCCATCCCTGTGCTGATGCCACCCACCCATGCCCCTCTAGTAAGCCCTGTATGCTGCAGCCTACCTGGTACTCCAAGGCATCTCAGAGACACATGTGGCCCACAGAGCTCAGAGCTGTCACTTCCCGGGGAACCTGTTCCTCCCATTTTGTGTTCCCCATTTCGGTAAGTGGCTCTTGTCTTCTCGTGGATCAGCCCAGAAACCCAGGCCGCAGGCTTCACTTCACTTCCTCTCTCACGTCCCACCTCGCAGCAGATCCCGCTGGCCCTGCTATCACGGTGTCCCCCTACTTCCGTGACCTCACTACTTCCATCCTAGTCCAAGCCACCATTCTATATCAATTGCATGAGTACAGCTGCCTAACTGGGCTCGGTTCATGGCCTCGCATCTGGTACTCACTTAAAGTGAGAGCTAAGAACTAAAGATCCTAGGATGCTCCCTGTCCTCACCCTCCCCAGCCACACCACCCTCCCTGGCATCCACCGAACACACCAATTGTGCCTCCTTCAGGGCTTTTCACTGGCCTTTCCTCTGCTTTAAATGCCCCCCCCCCCATATTCCTCATCTCCTTCATGTCTTTATCCAGCGGTCACTGGGTCAGGAGGTCAGGTACGCTCAGGCCAGACAGCGACGGATGGTGGCCTTCTTTGGCCTCCCTAAACTACTTTCTTCTCCATTCATACTACATATTTCACTTCTTTGCGGTCTCCTCTGGTCTAGTCTTTCTCTTCCCCCGTTACAGAATTTTCATGAGGGCAGGATTTGKTTTGGTTGTTTCACCCCAGCCCCTAGGCCAGTGCCTAGCACGTAGTAGGCGCTCAATAAATATTTATTGAATGCGYGACTTCTCCGCGCCCTTCTCAGAGCTCTTTAAATGAAATGCGATGCGGATCTTATGAAGTTACGTGCGCACGTCTCTGTTCTCTCCGGGCCGGGGATGAGGCCGGCCTGGCTCTGCCACCGCCGGTCCCCACGGCCGCACAGGGCAGGGCCAGGAGTGCAGCCGCCTGCTAACCSGGCTCGGGAGGCCGGCTGGGCCCTCGGACCTACAAGCCGCAGGCCGCGGGGACACCGACGCGCGGCGGGGCAGCAGAGGTGACGGTTAGAGTCACGGTGGACCGAGTTGGGGACACCCGCGGGCGCAGAGCCCAGAGCTGGCCCCACACGCCCCCGGGATTCCGACCTCGGGGGCGGGGCAGGACCCGGCACCTTGGACCTCGGGGAGGAGGTCAGGGCCTCAGAGAGGACAGGGGCCCACGCTCAGGCCAGACGGAGACGGACGGTGACGTTCGAGTCACCTCCGAGCCCCACCTCCTCCTTGCAATAGGGACACACGGTCGCGCGCTGCGCCGTTAGGCCCACACCTTCGGCGTTTGGAACGGAGTCCCCCCKGCCCGGCCCGAGCCGGTGGTACGGCCTTCCCTCGGCCCCCGCCGCCAGCGATTGGTAGGGCCCACGTGCGTGACGCACAATGGGCAGTTGTTCGCGCCGGCCGGCCGCTCCCCCGCGCCCGGCAGGGGGCGCCTGGCACCGCCCACGCGGCGGGGGCCCCTACTACCCTCGGCGCTCCGGCGTCCGGGAGGATACAGCATCAGCAGTCGCAGCTCCCGCTCTTTCTGCTTCATCTTCTTCAGTATGGTCAGAAGCCCCATGGTCCCTAGCCCCCTCCCAGTCGTCGTTTCTTACAGTCCGGGACCCCGCTCCCCGTTCCTATTGGCCATCACACCCACCGACAGCACAGCCTATTGGCCTGGCCCCTTGTTTGGACCCGCCCTCGCCACCACGTGACCGTAAAGTTGCCCGGCTGAGCTGGGTCAGGGGTCCCTCTAGTGGCGCTCAGGCGTCTACGCGCCTCCCTGCATTAACCCTGCGCCTCCCGAAGACTGATTCTTGAGGACCGAGGCAAAACCCCCATTCCTTTCTCCCCAAGATCCCAGGACTCGGCCGGGAACGGGAGGCTGAAGTTATGGAGTTGTATCTTGGTACGGTGGGGAGTACTTGCGAAGAGGTCCTGAACCAAGTACCCGGAGGCTGATGACGCGCTCATCCGGGAAGTAGTGGGTTGCCCAGTTCCTGCTCACCTTGGGCCTCGACCCCATCCTAAATTTGCCGGTGTCCGTAGAGAAGAGGCCTCCCCCTTTCCCAGTCTCCTGGAGAAAGTGGGCCGGGGTTTCTAAATCCAGGGCGATACTGCCCCCTAGGGGGCCATTTCGAAGTGTGCGAGAGCATTTTGGAGTTGTTCCAATGACAATAGAGTCCTGCCCTTTAGAGGATTAAGTGCTCCGCAATGCAGGGAATAGACCCACACAAAGAATTGTCTCACCTAAGATGCTTTGTGTTAAGAAACAATTCCAGCCCTTTTGGATTGAAAACTGAGGTCTGGTGCTACTTAGTACAGTGACCAGCATGTAGTAGGTGCTCAATAAATATTTGTTGTTGAAAGAATGGCTTTGTCCTAGAATTCCTTCCCTACCTCTCCCCCTTTTAAAAAAAAATATATTTTTTTAGTTGTAGATGGACACAATACCTTTATTTTGTTTATTTAGTTTTACATGGTGCTGGGGATTGAATCTAGGGCCTCGCACATGCTAGGCAAGTGCTCTACCACTGAGCTACAACCCCATCCCCCCCCCACTCCCCCTGCTTTTATATTTTATATTGAGACAGGAGAGACAGGGTCTCACTAAGTTGTAGAGGCTGGCTTTGAACTTGTAATCCTCCTGCCTCAGCCTCCCAAGCTTCTGGGATTACAGGTTTGCACTACATTGCCAAACCTAGTGTTTCCTTCTTTACCTTAGTGCCCAAGAGGTCCAGAGAATATAAGGAAGGTGAGACCAGGGACAAGTCCACTGTGAGCTCAGAAGTGAGAGAGCCTTGTGTTATTCTTAATCTTTTCCCCAGCTCACAAGGTAAGTGTGAGTAATTAATCTGGAATAGCCCCTGTCTAATGCTTGTGAAAGAATATCAGCAGCCACTGAAGATAACGGCAAACCCCTGGGGAACCATTTACAATCCACTCCTGTTGTTCCCCTTCATCTCCCTGTGACCCTGAGAAGTTTCTTTGTTTTTTGTAGATGTGATCATGGAGTCCAGAGAGTTTAAGAAACCAGGGTAAGATTTGAACTCAGGTCTGGCCAACAGTTTTTTTCCAGGTGCTTCCCTGGAGTTTGCCTGAAGAGGGACTGTTTCTCATGCAAAAGGAGACTATGGGCAAATGAAGGCTGGACAGACAGGGTGCCTGAATGAGCCCTTGGGTGACACTAGTTACCCTCTGTCAAGCACACACACAGAAGAAAATGAGCATCACTCCTACTCAAAGGCTTTGACACACAACTAAGGTCAAAATGGGAAATGCTCAGACCATAGGAGCCTGCTGTATTGTCTCCAGGAATTGAGGCTACAGAAATTCAAGCCCTGTTCATGAATATTTGTGATATAATGAAATCCATTATATCATGGATTGGAACAACAAGAAAGGGAGGGCTGGGGGGTGTACCTCAGTCGGTAGAGTGTTTGCCTAGCATGCTGAGGCCCTGGGTTCAGTCCCCAGCATGGCCCCTCAAAAAAGGAAAAAAAGAAAAAAGAAAAACTGGAAATAAGCCTAGGTGTTCTCAGTACAGGCAGATTCACTAGACAAGGGTGCATGTAAACTGTGATGGATTCACAAGCGCTTMAGTAGGATGAGGTGGAACTGTAATACCAGCGTAGACAGGTGCCATGCTGCATTAAGTGAAAAGGTAAATTTCAATCCATGTTAATTTTATAAATCACACTAACTGGAAGCATACCTGCTAAACAATTTTTTTTAGTGTTCTTCAGTGCACTATAAATACTCTTAAGAATGTATCTTGGACATCTTTCTGTTTAAATATGTATAAATCTTAGTCTTTTAAGGACTTCATATTTCATAATATGGATATAACACTTTTTCTACTGATATATGTTTTGTAATATGAGTTTTGCATTCATAATATCTTAGATCTTTGCAAACATACAAATATATCTGAAGGGGGCTGAGGTTGTGGTTCAGTGGTAGAACACTTGCCTAGCATGTGTGAGGCACTGGGTTTGATCCTCAGCACCACATAAAAATAAATATAAAAATATATATCTGAAGGATAGAGTCCTTGAAGTGAAAGTACTGTGTCAAATGAATACACATTAAAAATTTTGACAGATACTGCTGAATTACTATCCAAAATGCTTTTCTGGTTTATACTCCTAACAAGAGCAAGGAGGTAAGGGTAGGGGTCAGTGCCCACTTTGCTCTATATTATTACTATTGTTGGATATTCTCAATTAAACAATAATTTTTAAAGTATGGGATGCAGTCCATAAAGTGGATTGTGAAATTAGTGTCACAAATAGGTTGAATCATACGAATTGCCTGGGCTTGACCGTTTTGACTACCAAGAGAGCTGTTTCATGAGGTTCACACTAGCAGCATTAACACAAATTAAACAGAACAAGCAGAACAGAAAACATTACTACTTTTATCAGGGTAATGTTGGGTTGAACATTTGTGTCAGAGAGCCATTGGATGTGTGTACTGGTCACTGAAAACCCCTATCATTCAACTCAACTTGGGAGTAAGTTCTGGGGTACTTAAAATTGTTACCTTCAGTACTTCTGAACTGCTTTACTTTCCTACTGTTCTAGCATTGAAATACTTATTTAGATGTTATGCTTAAAAGTCCTGCCTGTCTAAGCTGTCTCAGCTTCCCAGGGGCCAAATAGTAGGATTTCAACTAATGTCAACCAAACTACCTCCCAACTTTGAGGAGGAGGTGACCAGGGAGAAACTGTGTTTAAGTTTTGAATAATTGGGGCTGGGGATGTGGCTCAAGCTGTAGCGCGCTCGTCTGGCGTGCGTGCGGCCCGGGTTCGATCCTCAGCACCACATACCAACAAAGACGTTGTGTCCGCCAATAACTAAAAAATAAATATTAAAAAAAAGTTTTGAATAATTGTCTGTAGCCAGAATATTTGGGGGCCAAGGGGCTTTCAGACAAGGGTAGGAGCCTATTAGGCTGTTTTTATTTGCCTTGTGGAAAAAAGGAAAGAAAGCTTTCAAAGCCCCTGGGAAATACGTTTAGAAGGGAACTAAGAAGAAGATATAGAGCTGTAGTTATATGTAACCATTCAAAAATACCTGTGATCCCAGCTTTGCTAGAGGTTGAAGTAGGATGACCTCAAGTTTGAGGCCAGCCTGAACAACTTAGACTATCTCAAAAATACAAAGGGTGAGAATGTAGCTCAGTGCTAGATTGTCCTTAGGCTTAATTGGAGGGTGGGGGCAGAAAAAATATAATTATCTTCACCACAAGAATGACCATGAAATTAAAATGCCCAAATCCTGACAGCTATGGACCCTGTTTCCCCCAACCCCCACTAACTCCATGCTGGGGATTGAACCCAATGGTACTTGACACTGAGCTATATCACCAACACTTTTTTTTTTTTTTTACAAGGTCTTATTAAATTGCTGAAGCTGGCCTTGGGCTTGAGACATCCTGCCTCAGCTTCCTGAATCTCTGGGATTATAGGCGTGTGTCATCAATTCCAGCAACTGGGGATCAAACCCAGGGCCTAGGGCAACCTCTCCTGTACTGGAGGTTGAACCCATGGCCTGGCACCTGCTAGGCAAGTACTCTACACTGGATTACATCCCCACTTCTTTCTAGTTTTTATTTTGAGGCAGAGTCTTCCAAAGTTGCCCAGGCTGGCCTTGAATTTGTGATCTTCCCACCTCAGCCTCCCTTGAGCCCTGCTTTTGAAGGGAGGACTTCTTAGGACCTAATGGATTGAAACTTGATAGCGTTCTAGATGCCTTGTCAAGAGGCATATTTACCCCATGTAAACAATGTGGCATTATAGTTTTAATTTTGCTGGGTGCAGTGGCCTCTATCTGTAGTCCCACCTACTCAGGAGGCTGAAGCAAGAGGATCACTTGAGTCCAGGAGTTGGAGGTCAACCTAGGCAACATAGTGAGACCCTGTCTCAAAAATATAAATAAATAATTTAAAAGGTATTTATCATTCTTAGTCTGCTATTTTACTCCATCTATTACCTTTATAATCATATGGAAAGATAATAAGAATTTTTATTCTGGAAACTAAGAGAAAAACTATGCAGGAGAGAAGACCCTGCTTAAATTACAATTGCTAATCATTGAAGTATTACCAAGAAGTATATGTAAGTAATTTATTTATCTAAATATTGATTTTTAAGGTCAAATTTGCTGTTTGATTTTTTTTTTTTTTTTGGTACCAGGATTGAATCCATGGTGCTTAACCACTGAGCTGCTCCTTCTGACCTTTTATTTTTTTATGTTATTTTGAGACAGGAACAGGGCCTTGTTAAGTTGCTGAGGCTGATCTTGGGAACCTCCTGCCTCAGCCTCCTGACCCAGTGGGATTCCAGACATGCACCACCCTGCCCTGCACTGATTGCTTTATACTGTAATGTACATATTAGGTTGTTTTAAATGTTCCAGAGTGGGAGACACAGTTCAGTAGTAGAATGCTACTGCAAGGTAATTGCAAGGCCTTGGGTTCCATCCCCAGTACCACAAAAATAAGTCAAAGTTAAATGAGAAAGAAAAAACCTACTTTTTTTTTTTTTTTTGGCTGATACACATCTATGGAGCAAGTCCTGTTTTTGGACCCCTTGCCTGTGACACAGGCACCCACCAGTGCTGGTCTGCCTGCTCTGCCACCTCCCTGCACATGGCCAAGTCCCCTCCTCCTGCTGAGCTTCAGTTCCCCCATTGTGAACCCAGGAGACTGGACAATCTCTGGAGTCCTCTGGCCATGACCAACTACCCACCTGCCTGGCCAGAGCACCATCTTGGTCTGTGTCTTCCAGGAGCAGCGCTGTCATGTCCACGGTCTTGTGAGTCCCTGGCCACGATGGGCAGGGCTTTCTTCACCTTGCTGCAGCTTAGCCCAGCTTCCAGGTCCTTGCTCCATGACACTGGCTGGCCCCTCCCTCACACCAGGCTCCACACGAGGCCCTCCCATCTCTAAAGTTCAGTGGGGTGAGAGAGAGAGGAGAGAGAGAGAGAGAGAGAGAGAGAGAGAGAGAGAGAGAGAGAGAGAGAAGAGACTCACCTTTTCCAAGCTCATTAGTGACCACTTTCCATGTGTGGCTTCAGTTCATGACAGCCTTGAAAAAGTGAGGGTGTTATCATTTGATCGGAAGGGAAACTGATGCCTAGAGAAACAGGCCTTGCCCAAGGTCACAACAGTTCGCAGAGGCAGCTCAAGTTCTCTCTGGGTCTGGACGCCTTGGGAAAACATAGGAGCTGTGGTCGCTGCTGCCACATCCCATGAGACCCAGGGGTGCTCCCTGCTCTTCAAAGTCTGAGTCAGCTTCCGGGAAAGATGCATGTGTTAAAGAACTGCAGAGACCAGCCACACCACGCTTTGAAGGCAGCAAAGGGCGCAGCAGGATTGGGGAGGGGTAGGAGCTGAGCACTGGGATGTGTGCCAGATCCCACTTCCTCCTGGCTGGCACCACCCACCCCCAGGGAAGACGGTGGTGACATCAGACAACCCCGTGTGGAGTCACCCTTTCCTGGGAGGCCCATCACTTTGCTGACTCGGGCTCTAAAGAGCGCTCACRATGTGCTGTGCTGAAAGTGAAAGCCAGTTCTGCCCCCCATTCCTGGAGAGGTCACCATGATGTCACCGCCTTCAGTCTCAGCCCAGCATTCAGGACCTCTGGATCATCCCCTCAGCAAGCCAATGCATTCCTGCCTAAAGGAGTTAGCTAAGTGACTTATTCTTGGGACCTTCTCCCCCAACTTGGGAAGCTGGGAGCTAATGAAAGAGTGCCTGGCTTGGTGTCACATGGGGATAAATCCATCTCAACAAGGAATGCCCTGCCGAGTGGCAGCGCCCTCATATCTGACTTTGACCCCAGGTGAGGGCATCAGCCCCTGCACTCTGATGCCCTTAGGAGGTGCCCCTTCCTCACCCCCTGGATGAGATGGGGCTGACCCCATCCCCACTCCAGCATGAGCCTGGGACCCCAGCTCTGCCAATCTCTTCTCTTCCCCTTGCCACAGGGACTGCTGTCAGGACCCAAGCCACACCAAGGTCAGCCAGCCTGGGACCTCTGTTGGAACTACTAGGAAAGTGGCGGGAGGTGGGGGCACCCCCCTCCCTGTTAAGCTAAGCTGGCCCTTTAGGGGTCATCCCACTGTGAGCCAGCCCCGCCCAAGGCTGTAGCCTGCTCCCAGGCACTTTTAAGTTTTCTGTCATTAAAGAGACATTTCACTGAAACATCATCTCATCACTGTTCTTGCACCCCACAATTTTTTTCTTAATAATGAAACATAGGGATTCCACCTCTTGGGTCCCCTTCTTCATTCGGGAGAAGTCTTTTCTGCTGTCCTTTAATAAACTAAAAAAGAAAAAAATAATGAAACATAAACCAGGTCTGTTGCTATGTGTACAGAAAAATTCATCTAACCTTGTTAAAAATTCAACCCAGGGATGTGGCTCAAGCGGTAGTGCGCTCGTCTGGCATGCGTGCGGCCCTGGCTCGATCCTCAGCACCATACAAACAAAGATGTTGTGTCCGCCAAAAAACTAAAAATAAATATAAAATTCTCTCTCTCTCTCTCTCCCTCTATAACTCTCTCTTTAAAAAAAAAATTGAACCCATGTTTATGTGACTTATTGTTCTAACTCTTTTACATTTATCACTTCATCAAATCCTTGGATTACTATCCCCATTATACAGAGGAAGCTTAAAGAAGTTAGTTCAGTGACTTGCCCCAGAACAAGCTCCAGGCCCTGGGATAGAGCCTTCCTATCCTTTCATGTCCCTCCCAAAGAGCCCCTGCTCTGGAAAATCTCTGAGCTCCCCTGACAGAAAATGACCTCCCCTAGAGGAGGTGACCTCCCCTACAGGTGTGTTCCACCCCAGGCTGAGACTGAGCTCCAGCAGGCTCCTTCACAGTCCTGGATGGGACATCAGTACCAGCCTCAACCCACAGCAGGCGCCTAAGCCTTCATCTTGTACTCATCCTCTACAGCTCCCTCAGGTGCCCTAAAACTAGGGATGCATGAGGTGGGAAGACCCAGACAGAGGTCCTCATCTGGGCACCCRGAGACCGGCTAAGCATCTACCCAACCCCTGAGGTGTGGAACATACTTGGGAAAAGGCCTTACATGTCTCCTAGCTTCTGCCAATGGGTCCCTTCCTTCTGCCTCATTTTCCTCATTGGTAAAATGAGGAGCTTGGCTCGGGAGAATCCCCCAGCACCCAAGGCAGATCCTATGGGAATGAGAAAAGCAGAAGTTTATTTATTCAAAAAGGTTTTGGGGTCCCTGGATGAAAAGCTGCCTGGACTTTAATTCATTTATTCACTATCTGGGCATCTACTATGTGAAGGGGAATACTTCAGAGAGCAAAACAGGCAAAGCTTTGTAGCTCTGGTATTCAGGAGGCCTCCAGCCCAAGCTGAGATGCTGGACTCATGGAGAGGCCTCTCCAAGCTGGGTGTGGAGGAGAACTGAGGGCTTAGATTCAGAGGTTGTGTTCTCCCTCCAGCTCCGATGCCCTGTGGTGTGACCTTGACTCTCTGGGTACCAGCTTCCTCTCCTTCTCTTGTGGACTGAATGTTTTTGTTTGCTCAAACTATATTCAAGCACAACCTCAATCTTCAATATGATGGTGTTTGGAGACAGAGCCTTTAGGAGGTAATTAGGTTTGGATGAGGTCATGAGGGTGGAATTAGTGTCCTTGTAAGATGACAAAGAGTGACTGAGAACTTTTTCTACCAAGTGAGGACACAGCGAGACGGCAGCCATCTTCTAGCCAGAGGCCATTGCCACACTTCAACCTTGTACTTCCCAGCCTCCCAAACTGTGAGATCAGTGTCTGTTGTTTAAGCCACCCAGGCTGCGGTAGTGCTGGGGCAGCCAGAGCACACCAGGATACCACACAGTGAGGGCTGGGACCAGATGGCCCTGCCAGCCGGGGAGGGCCTCTGGCGGAAGCCTGGTATGGCCACTGGAGGTTAAATAGTAACCACCCCTCCCTCCCTGCCACGCCCTCTCCCTGCCACCTCCTCAGGGAGCTGAAGCCATCAAACCTGCCTCCTTTGCTTCTCCTCAGGGCTGTGGCCTCCTGGGAGGAGCCACACCTGCCTTCTACCCCCTACCTGAAGCCTGGGCCTGGGGGATCCAGGTTTGGGAGAGGGGCGCTTGGCCCGAGCCTCCCCCACAGCTGTTTGGGGGTACATCCTGCCCAACGCCCTGCAGAGTGCTCCCTGAGGAGCTCTGGCTCACTGAGCCCCAGGTGCCCGCCTTAGGCAGGAAGCCCCAGCTCTCCCAGTGACTGGGAAACCAAAATAATTCAGAGAAACCGGGGCAGCCTCATTGCGTGGGGGTGTCCCACTTCCACCTCCGCCTCCAGGCCCCTCAGAAACCAGGAGGCAAGGGCCCAGCTGTGATGCACAAGCCCTCCCACCCAGACCGTCCTAATTACAAGCCACCATCCAGAATGAGTCACCACAAACCTCAGGAGAGGGAGTCCGTCCTGACTGGATGGCACTTTACAACATGGGAAGAGCTTTCGTCGCTCCCTCCCCTCTCAGCACAGCTCTGTGCAAGGGGTGTGACTTCTTTGTCCCCCCCAAGCTTGTGTGTGAGAAGACCGAGGCCCCAGGCAGTAGAGCTGGCGGGAGGGCGCAGGGGTTCAGAGCCTTCCAGCTGTAAGGCCCCGGCAGCTCCAGGCCTAGCTCCAGGGAGGGCAGAGGATGGCTACGCTCCCCGCCTCTGCTCAGCTCGTGACACATCTCCAATCAATCTGGGCATGGCAGGCACAGCACGGGGCTGGTCAATTGCATTACCCTTTTCTAATGAGCTCACAGGCAGCTGTGGATCCTCAACACTACACCCATCACCCTCAGAAGRTGGTATCTGCAGGGCTTTCCACCCTCAAGATCCCCCATCATCAGCCTTGAGCGCTCATGACGCAGACACAACCCCAAGATGCACTTGTTGCCAGACCATAGAACCCTCCATGCTGGGTGCTGGTTCAGCACAGGGGTGGCTTGGCTCCTGTGTCCCCTCGATCAGATGTCCTATCCAAGCACGGCTTTCTCAGAGAGACACCACCATGCAGGTTTGCTTGGGGTTTGCTAGGTCTTCTAAAGAGGTTTTTATTAGGAAACATTTCAAATATTGTCCAAAATGTAGATGATACCACTTACAACTGTGCTCCCACTACACAAGCAATTACTGAAGTCCCTTTATCCTCTTCTGTCCACCCACCTGTCTCCGGCCACCACTCTCTGGATTTTGTTCCTCATTCTGGTGCTCATTTTATATTTCATCACCTCTTTACATATCCATATTATTAAACCTTATGGAAATGTCATCGTCTTGTTCTGATCTTGTGGCAGTTTGCTATTTTCACACAACTGGATGCTTTGGACTGTTAGGCCTGGTGATAAACACAGTTTCGAATCTCCCAGGGTTTCATAAATGCAAAGGTCGAGGTCTCACTCTCGGCACCAGGCCTGGGTTCAGGCAACTCACCTGTCTTAACTCATCTCATCACAACAAAATCGTTATCCTCGATTTACAGATTTGCAAACATAGCTTGGAAGCTGGGCTTCTAGTCCCTAGGTCTGATCTATGGAAACAGTAACATCCATTTTTATTTAAGGCCCATTGCTTGATTTTACAGACCCACCTGGACTCTATCTCAGAGGATCGGGGGAGTCATATTCTCCCCCATAGTTCCTACATTGAGCCTGGGAATTTGTACCATCCAACTCACACCCTTTACAGATGAAGAAACTGAGGCTCAGAGAGGGTGACTCAGATTCTCACAATTGCACTGCTCTGCTGTGGGCTGTGAACCTGTGCCCCAGGGAGCACAGGGACTGTCCCCAGCCCCATGTGAACCTGGGGCCCCACTGGCTTCTTCCCTGGCTCTGTTCCTGGCAGCCCGCCCTCCCTCCCCAGAACACCCTCCCTACACCTGGCCTTCAATCTCCCAGTCTCCACCCTCCATAGTCCTTCTCCCAGAAAAGGGGCCCAACCGGAAGCCAGAGCATGTCAGGAACTTCCAGCCACGTGAGCAGTCCTGAGCCAGGGATTCTGAGCAGCCGGTGGCTTTAGGAGAAACTGAAACTGGGCTTTCTGGGGGCGGAGTGGTCACTAGGGATTTAAAGAGCTGCCACTTCCTTGGGTCCCCAGAGGGCACCGGGAGGTCACAGCTGCTGAGGGACATCCAGGATCTGTGTGAGCCTCGCTCCCCTGCCTCAGCCATGCACCTCTGTGGAAGAGAAGTGCTGCTGACGGGGCCCGTGAGTACGGGGCTGCAGGGGTGGGGGGTGACGGGGAGTGGACTTGAGGGTCTCAGGGCCCAGGCAGTGGGGCATGAGGGGGGATGTTCTAGTGCCAGCTCTGTGCTCCTGGGCTGTGTGACCTCTGGCAGGCTCCACTCAACCCCTCTCTGAGTCTGAATTTCCTCCCCTGAACCATCGGGGGACAGTTCCCAAGTTGCAGATGCAGCCTCGGGGTTAGAACTTGGACTTCCCACGGGCTCTCTCCAGACCCCCCTCTTCTCCCGTGGTCCCTCCAGTCTCTGTCTTCCCATGACCCCTGCAGCCATGGGTCCCCTCACAGGTCTCCCTCTTCTCTCACTGGGTCCTTCCCCGGGCTCCAGTCTCTGAAATGAGGGTGCTGTGGCCGTGAAGGCACCAGAGGCTGTGGCCTGGGCAGAGCTGGAGCCAGGAAGGACTGAGGATCCAGAATCCTTGGCCAAGGAGGCCAGGGTCTTGCCTGAGGTCCTTACCCACAAAACACCCCGAAGACTGATGGGGGCCTGTGGGGCTGGGAGGTCTTCCACAGTCCCCGGGCGTCGTCTTTCCAGAGCTCTGGGCCATTGGAGTGAACATTCACCTAAGTTCCAAGGTGCCCAGGTTGGGGAGGGTCGCTGCTGACAACCTTGGAGCCCATTGGTCTGGCAAAAGGGACTCTCCATTCATTCGTCCCAGACGGTTGCTCAGCTAGAACATGGGGGCAGGGGTGGTTCCTGTTTTGTTCACCACTGTGTCCCCCTGGCTAYGTGACCGGCCGACACACAGTAGAGAAGGAATAGATTTTTGTGGAGTGAGTGGATATCAGCTTTGGATGTGAGCAGGACAGACAGAGGGCCCCGCCCTCAGGGAGCACTGCAGGGAGCAYTCAGGGAGCAGAGCTGACCTCTCCCAGCTCTGGCTCTGAGCTGCCTGCCCTGTGGGTTTCTCTCCACGCCTCATAGTGGCCTCTGAAGAAGGTACCATAATGCCACTCTTGCACAGAGGAGGTGACCGGGCTCAGAGAAGTGAGTGACCAGCCCAGAGAGACATGGCTCGTGAGAATGTGCCATTCGAAGCCAGTTCTGTCCAGGTTTCAATCCCAGGCTCCTCAGCTTCCCTACTTGTCCTCGCCCCCACATATTCTATGAGCAGGGCCCATGAGGTGTGCGAGGCCTGCAGAGGAGTATGGGTGCTGAAGGAGCAAGAGGGGCTTCTAGGAGGACAGGTCAAGTCCCCAAGGGAACAACTTGGCTTGGCAAATGGCTGGCCAGAGCAGAGGGCAAGAGCCCTGCTGGAATCCCTGAGCCCTGTGTCCCATGCCCAGCAGGACCCACCAGATTGTCAGAAGCAGCTGAAGAAGAAACAGAAAAACCGGGTGGCCGCCCAGCGCAGCCGGCAGAAGCACACAGACAAGGCAGACGCCCTGCACCAGGTGGGGACACCCTCCATCTTAGACAACTTTCTGTTACTATAAGTGAATACCACACACCAGATAATTCATAAAGAAAAGATGTTTGTGCTGGGCACGGTGGTGCACACTGGTGATCCCAGCAATTTGGGAGGCTGTAGCGGGAAGATTGCAAGTTTAAGGCCACCATAGCTACTTAGTGAAACCTGTCTCAAGGTTAAAAAAAAGAAAGAAGAAAGGAAGGAAGCAAGAAGGACTGCTGATATAGCTCAGTGGGAGAGTGTCTCTGGGTTCAATCTCCAGTAGTACAATTAAAAAAAAAAAAAAGAGGTTGGTTTAGGGACATCGAAGAGCATGATGCCAGTTTGTGTGGAGAGCCTTCCTGCTGGTCACAAGTGGCATGTCGGGGCACATCACAGAGCAAGATGGAGCAGAGACAGCTCACTTTTATAGCAAATCCACTTTCACCATAACCAAATAACCCACTAATGGATTAACCCATCCTCAGCAGTGGCCCTCGGTTCCACATCCCAAATACATGACTTGTCTCCCTCCTCGGCACCCTAAGGGCAGGGAACCATTCCTTTCCCTGCTACTCGCCCATCACCTAGAACAGGGTATAGCTCAGCCTGYGGAGCAGGTGAGAGGCCCTGGGATCAAGTCACCATCCGGCAAATGATAAGGCAGTGTGGGGACACATGGGCAGGGCAGCGCATCCATCTGCTGGGGCTGCATACACTGCAGGCTTAACCCGCAGAGATTTATTTTCTAAAGTCTAAGATCAAGGTAYGTGTTAGTTTTCTCTGTGCTGAGGGCTCTCTTCCTGCCAGGGTACTTGGGGGTGCTGTGGTCTTTTTCCACGGATGTGGGAGGAGAGTCATCTCTCTCCCTTCCTCTTTTGGTGGCGCTGGGGCTCAAACCCAGGGCCTCACGCATGCCAGGGGAACTCTACCACAGGGCCACATCCCCAGTCCTCCTTCCTCTTCTTATWAGGCTACCAATCCTGTAAGATCCCTTATGACCTCATTTACTCTAAATTACCTCCTAAAAGCCCTATTTCTTTCTTTTTTTCTGTTGGTACTGGGGATTGAACCCAGGGGCACTTAACCACTGAGCCACATCCTCAAYCCTTTTTTTGTATTTTATTGAGAGTCAGGGTCTCACCGAGTTGCTTAGGGCCTCGCTGGGTACTAAGGCTGCCTTTGAACTGGTGATCCTCCTGTTTCAGGCTCCCAAGCTGCTGGGATTACAGGCATGCAGTACCATGCCTGGCTCTAAAGTCCTATCTCTAAACACAGTCACATGGGTATTGTGACCTCATCCTAATTTCAGAGGGACACTATTGTGAGTGGCCTTGGGGACATAAAGAGGCAATGAAGGGTGATCTAGACTTGAGGGCTCCATAGAAGCTTTCCAAGTGGGTGAAGGTCAGAACATGCACCAGGGGCAGGTGGAGCACTGGCTGGGGTGGGGGGGTGTCCCCTGCAGACTGCGCGCAGCAGGGAGCACCACGGGAAACTGTGCGTCCTCTCTCTGCTCCTTGTGGAGACTGCTACGGTGTGTCTTCCCTGCACCCCAGGCCCTGGAGGGCAGATATGAGCCCCAGACAAAAGCCCCTCTCCCACCTCCAGGAGCTTCTATTCTCACAGAGGCCAGAGTACAAGTACCTGGTCCATAAAGCGTTGGAGATGTTAGGTGGTGATAAGTCTGAAGGGGGAAAATAGAACGGAAAAGGGAAGGGAGAGGCAGGCGTGATGGAGATTAACTAGGGAGATCCCCTGAGTAGTGACATTTGAACAGGCTGAAGGTGGCAAACAAATAAATGAACGAGTGGCTCAGTTCCTGGAGGTCAGGTGGAGGTTTGGAGAGTTTAGGTGACCTGGTGATGTGTTCTGGAAGTGTCCATTCCACCCATGGAAACCACCACTGGTGGTGTTGAGGTCCTTAGGAACTCTGGAGACCATGGCCTAAGGCACGTTTTTATGCAAAACATCCTTACAACTTCTCCTTTTCAAGTGTCCCCAAAAGGGGACTGAAGGAAACTGTTCATCTCACTTGGCCTATAAGGTGAAAATAAAATTCTTTCCACGTTTCTGACATCGCTGTCATCACAGATGGCCATTTAGAAGTGGAAGTGGAAGTGGACGATTGTCCCAGCAGATTCTCAGAACCCGGTGTCTGGAAGAACAGAACMTTTTGAAGGCTGATTCAGAGATGTCCAGCAGAGCACACCTGTGCTGTCCACCTGGAAAACTGAACCCCAAATCCCACGGTGCCTCAGTTGGCAAGCTCTGGGCCCCGGCTCCCCGGGGAGGTGGAGGTGGAGGCCTGGAGGTGACATGAAGTCACCTGAGTTGTCTAGGACAGAATGACTTGGAAGGTGCCACTTGAAAGCCACGTTGGGACTCACACAGGGYGTGGCGCAGAGGAGTGTCCAGGCAGAGGAGACAGGAAACATGTCGAGGAAATAAATTCCAGCTGAGGGACAGGAGGAGAAGGAGCAGGAGACAAGGCAGGACAGATGGCGCTGGAGGTTTGAGCGGGGGCTGCCAGGCTGGCGTCCAGGGCCAACACGGGGAGTTTGGAACCTGGGAATCTTGGGCCTTTGGAGGGTTTTGGCCTCCAGTTAATGACAGTGCCTTCTTGGGGCCAAGAGAATTGGGTGGTTGGGGGCACACCAAGGAGGAAGCCATTGGAGATCCAGGTAAGTGGGTGCAGCTCAGGGGACTCGCAGTGGGCAGAGAGCGGGGCAGCTCTGTGCTCTGCCAGGGTACAGGTTGGGGGCGTGGTAGAGGGCTGGCTCTAGCCTGGATATGCAGAAGGTGGCAGCTTCCTCTGGCATGAGGAGCCTGGAGGGGAACGGGGCTCACGCCGGCCCCGCTGCAGGCTGACGTCCCCTCCTGGCCCACCGCTTCTCCCCCAGCAGTACGAGACCCTGGAGAAACACAACCACACCCTGCGGAAGGAGATCCAGGCCCTGCAGGCTGAGTTAGGGTGGTGGACTYGCACTCTACAGCTGCATGAATGTGTGTGCCGCCTGGACTGTGCCTCCCGCCCAGCACTGGAGMCTGCTGGCTGCTGGGCTTGTCCCCAGCAGCCCCTGGGACAAACCACTGCCCGTGGGCAACATGGCTGCCTGAAGCAGAAGGGCCTGATGCAGACTCCAGTCTCCTCTTCCCCAGCTCAGCAACTTTCTCCAGGTCCACACTCTCAGGATTCCCCTGGCCTTCTCCCACCCCTTCTGCCTTTGCTGTCCTTTGGCCCTGCCATGGGGACGGCACCACCTGCCCAACTGTCCCTCAGGCCTGACCTGTCTGCCCCACCCGCTGGCTCTGGCCCGTTGGAGACTTCCTCTAAGCTCGGTGCCCTCCTGCCCAGCCCTCCAGCCCGGCCGGCCCCTCCACAGCCCCTGGGGCCGGAGCACCCCATCAGGGGGCGACTGGAGTCCTCTCCCCACAACCCTTCAGCTGCTCCAGGGCCTGCGTGTCTGCAGAGGAGGGAGCCTGTTCTCTCAGCCCCAGACTGGCAAGGGCCTGCAGGGGGGCCCGGCTCTCAGCCCCTCCTGGCCTTCCCCCTCCTCTCCTCTGCCCAAGTCCACTTCTAACCTGCTCCCAGGAATGGAGCTGCCTCCTCCTTAGGCCCAGGAAGCAGCCTYAGCAACCAGGTGCCTCCTTTGCTGCTGGAAGGTTTCCTTGTTGGTGGACCAGCTGGGCCAGGATTTCCCTGGGGAAAAGGAAGCCATCGCTGAGAGCCTACCGCTGCCGCAGCCCCTGCCACCACCAGTATGTCATTCCAACCTCCCAGTCACCTATGAAACAGAGACTACCATTCCACTGTTCCAAACAAGGAAACAGAGACTCAGAGAAGTCAAGCGACAYGTTGAACATTACACAGCCTGTCTTAATTTGTTATTTTTATTTTTATTGTTATTTTATTTTTATTAGTTTCTCACGCAGCCTTTCTTAGACTTGAAACACTCTCATTTGCTGTCCTGGTAAGATCCCGGACCAGGGCCCACGGGTCTGAAGTCCTGAGAACTGAGGGCTGGTATAAGGAGGTTCACTGCTGGGAGCMGAGAGGGCTCTCCCCTCTGCTGTCCAGCTGCCCTGGCTGGGGACAATCCAGAGTTCACAGTGGGCGAGGAGAAGCCCAGAAGCCCAGGAGAAGACGCTTGCGTCATCCCAGGAGTCTTTCCAGTGCCGAGAAACCACTGTGGAGGCCTGGAGCGGCCCCTCTGGGACTTCCAGAGGCTGGTACCCACAGCCATTCTGAGGCCTGGGGGAGACTCTGCAGAGCCAGCTCTCCTGGCTAATCCCAGGTAGCTCCCCGCCTCCCCTTCCCCAAGGCCTGGCCGCTGGACCTCAGTGATCCATCCATCTTCTGCCCCAAGTGCAGGAAGAGAGACTGAGGGAAGTCCCGGGGCCGGYGCTGCACTCGAACCGAGCAGCAGTGGGGCTGGTGTCTTCTCTGGCAGCTCCAGGACCCTGCGCACCCCCAGGCCTGGTTACCCTCAGACCCCCTGAAGCAGCTTCCTCCTGGCTCTTGGGAAGGGGCTGATGGCAGCACAGAGCAGGAGCCTGAGACCAGGCTCAGCTGGAGTATCTGAGAGGGCAATCAGATTAGGTGAGAGGGGGTGTCCCTGGCGCTCCAGGACAAGCACTCGGAGATGACTCTTCACCCAGACTCTCACACATGTAGCTGAGACACTATGTCAGGATTTAACACACTCCCAGGTGCTGGGCACAAGTCTTGGCACATATGATGGCAAATAAATTCAAAAGTGTTTCCCCACTCCTTTTTTGCTTAGGCTAGTTGTTTAAAGCTCTGGGTGTGGTCTATGCTGCGGAAATTAAAAGGTCCTTTGGAAGAAGAAGGAATGGTCTAGAATCTTAGAGGTGGGAAATCCCCCATCAACCCCCTAATCTGATCTTCCTCTCATACTACAGGTGAGGAAACAGGCCCAGAGATGAGATGGACTTGCTCAAGTGCATTGGTGTTTCTGAGCAGGCAGGACCAATAGGGTGTGCATATACGTGTGTGTGTGTGTGTGTGTGTGTGTGTGTGTATGTATTTATGTACATATAAACACACATATCCATGGTGGGGGGAGTAGTTTAAGATATTCAAAATCTGCAGGGTGGGCTGGTAGGCTGGAGACACAAGAAAGAACTGGTGTTGCAGTTCAGGTTCAAGGGCTTCTGCTGCAGAATTCACTCGTTTGGGAAGATCAGCCTTTTTGTTCTATTTAGACCCTCGACTGATTGATTGAGGCCCACCCACCTCCATGGAGGGCCGTCTGCTTTACTCATAATAATGTCATTCTCATCCAAAAATATACTCAGCAGAAATACATAGAGTAATGTTTGAGCACCTGTCTCGGTACCATGACTCAGCCAAGATGATGTAAAATTAACTACCACACCAGGATCATGTAGCAAAGGCAGGTGTCAGGGTGATGGAGGGCAGCTGAGCTGGAGTTAGCAGAGTGGGTTCAGGGAGAATTAGAGGGCAGGAGGGAAGCCAAGATGCTGTTGATTGGAGGTGGGCTTACATCTGGGACAAGAGTTGGCATTATGCACTGTGGACCAGAACTTGATGGGGTGAGGGTACCGCAGCCTGGCTGGTGTCTAAATACCCTGAGATGAYGGGCACTGTGCTGTGTTTTAAATGGTGCCTATAATAACTCTGTGAAGAAAATGGGACTATCATCCCTGCAGTTCAGAAAGGGAAACTRAGGCCCAGGAGAGTTAAATAACAAGCCCAGGAACACACAGTAGGAAAAGGTATAGATTTGGTTCAATGATCAGAAGCATTTAGCCACAGACCTCCCATGATTTTTATTTATTTTTTTGTACTGGGGATTGAACCCAGGGGTGCTTAAACACTGAGCCTCATCCCCAGCCCTTTGTATTTTTTATTTAGAGACAGGGTCTTGCTGAGTTGYTTAGGACCTTCCTATGTTGCTGAGGCTGGCTTTGAATTTTCGATCCTCCTGCCTCAGCCTCTTGAGTCTCTGGGATTACAGGTGTGCACCACCACGCAGGGTCTTCTGTGTACTTTTATTGCAGATCCTCAACAGAGGGGCCGGCACATGCTCATGGATATCGCCCAAGGGGGCAAAACTCTACTGTAAGCCCAAAACACAAAGGAGGGGAGTGCTTTAGTTAATGTTGGTCTGCTCATCGGGGCAGCAGTGAAGAGCTTGCTCAGAATAAAGAACGCTYGGGAGATTATTTAATGAGATGAGAAAATGCAACATATTAAGCAGGAAAAATAGAACATAGGAATAGAACTGTCACTATCGTTTGATGTTATGCTCCCTCCCAAACATAAACAGAATAAAAGGAGTGGGAGGAGATGTTGTAGATTTTTGAGAGCGATAAGTGCTGTATCTGTGAATCCCCAAATTTGTAAACAGTGAGCAGGAGCGCAGGAGCCGCGAGGCTGAATATATCCTACCACTCTATATCTGGGCCTGTTGGTSTCTGTTGGTGTCTGTTGCTGCAGAACAAATTACTCCCAAACCTAGTGGCTGGCATAAGCAACATTCATTATGGCACAGTTTCTGTGGGTTGGGAGTCTGGCCATGACAYAGGCTGTGCTACTGTACTGGCCCAGGGTCTCACAGGGGGCTGCAGCCAAGGTTGGCCAGGTACAGTCACCCCAAGGCTCCACGTGGGAAAGGTCTGCTTCTGAGCTGCCCGTGTGGTTCTGCAGACCCTAGAAGACCTATGTTATGGTTTGGATGTGAGATGTCCCCCCAGAAGCTCACGTGTGAGACAATGCGAGAAGGTTTAGAGGAGAAATGACTGGGTTGTGAGAGCCTTAACCCAATCAGTGAACCAATCATCTGATGGGATTAATTGAGTGGGGACTGGAGGCAGGTGGGGTGTGGCTAGAGGAGGTGGGGCATGGGGCGTGGCTTGGGTACCTGTTTGTATTTGGCCAGTGGAGTCTTTCTGCTTCCTGATCATCATGTGAGCCGCTTCTCTGCCACACTCTTCCATGATGAAGACGTCCTGCCTCACCTTAAGTCCCGAAGAATGGAGCCTGCCTCTCCTTCTCTACCGTTGCTCTGGTTGGGCCGTTTAGTCACAGCAGCAAAAAAGCTGACAAAACAGCCCACTTCCTAGTATGTCTTTTATTGACGATGACAGGTTGTTGGCTAGAGAAATCCGTACCCCACCAGCTTGGCGTCTTTGTAGAAGAGCTYAACCTGACGGCTGCTTTCCCTCCAAGAAAGAGTGAGGAAAGATGGGCAGTAGGAGGAAGATGGAAGGCACAGTCTTTTTTAAATTTATTTACTTTTATTTTACTTCTTTTTGTTTTTCATTGCTAAGGATGGAGCCCAGGGCCGGGTGCATGCAGAGGCCTTATCTTAGCCACATTTCTAGCCCAAGGTCGTCCCGAGCTGGGCCTGATGGCCCATGCCTGTAATCCCAGCAGCTCTGGAGGCTGAGGCAGGATCCTAAGTTCAAAGCCAGCCTCAGCAACTTAGCAAGGCCCTAAGCAACTCAAAATTAAATGTAAAAAAGGGCTGGGGATGTGGCTCAGTGGTGAAGGGCCCCTGGGTTCACTCTGGTACCAAAAAAAGAAAAAGAAAAAAAAAAAAAGGTCATCCTATCATTTTTGCCATATTCTATTCATTAGAGGTAAGTCTCAGGTTCAGGTCACACTCAAGGGAAGGGGATTCCACCAGGGAGTGTATAAAAACCTGGAGTCAGGCTCAGTGGCCGAAGGTCCTGGAAGCTGCCTGTAATGCTGGGGAAGAAGCAGCCCCCCCCTCCCCGATCCCTACCTTTTCCTTCCATCACCGGCACTAGGAGAGGACTTTCTCTGGAGAGGTTCTTTTTCAGAAGGTRACAGTTTGGATCCCTTTCAACAGTGCCAAGGCTCCCAGCAGTGAGCAGCTGTGGGGTTTTAGGCTGCAGCAAGGCACCTCGCTGGACAGTGCAGGTGTTCCCTCCCCAGAACACCCTTTAAAGTGATGCGTGGACGGTCAGCACTGAAATGTCCGGCATTTGCAGGCCAAGGGTGTCAGTTCTAGGGATCAGACCCACGGTCACTTTATCGCTGAGCCCTTTCTATTTTATTTGGAGACAGGGCCTCACTAAGTTGCCCAGGCTGGCCTTGAGCTTGCGATCCTCCTGCCTCAGCTGCCTGAGTCACTGAGATTACAGGCGTGCATTACCGCTCCAGGTTCCGAGAGTCTCTACTGAGGAATAGTTGACATAGAAAGAAATACACATTTTTTTTTTAAGAGAGAGTGAGAGAGGAGAGAGAGAGAGAGAATTTTTAATATTTATTTTTTAGTTCTCGGCGGACACAACATCTTTGTTKGTATGTGGTGCTGAGGATCGAACCCGGGCCGCACGCATGCCAGGCGAGCACGCTACCGCTTGAGCCACATCCCCAGCCCCGAAATACACATTTTTAATGGGCTCAATCTGAAGAATTTGGACCTATGCCAACTATGACATCACAACCCCAATCAGGGGAACAGACATATCCAACATCTCCCAGTGCTTCCCGTGTCCTTTTGTGTGTGTGGTAAGGACACTTTATAAGAGATCCAYACCGATTGTTAATGCTAGGTGCTGTGTGGTACAGCAGATCTCTAGATCTTATTCATCTTGCTTAACTGGGACTTTACACCCATTGAACTTCTCCCCCTTCCCGCTTCCCGAAGCCCCTGCCAAGTGCTATTGTAATCTCTGCTTCTACRAGTTTGACCGTTCCGTCAACAGCAGCAGTTATACTCAGTGGTTGCCCCTTAAGATCACAGCACCTGGCAACATGACTGTCTTAGTTTGTGAAAACACTGAGGGTCACACAGTAACAAAATTGCCTCACAATGTGTTCCTCAGAAGGTGTCCCCATCTTTAGGTGACACATGGCCGTATTCCCAGAAGTGGATCTTTATGTCTCGAAAAGCAGTCACTCGTTGGAGGACTAAAGTTTAAACCCACTGGAACTCTAAGCTGTTTCTTTTTCTGCCATTTACCTTAGTAATGGGTTTAATGGTGGCTTCCCAAAAGATATGTCTGTCCATCTAGTACCCGTGGGTGTGACCTTATTTGGAAAAAGGATCTTTGCAGATATAATCAAGCGTGTCAAGAAGTCATCCTGGATATCCTGGTGGACCTTAAATCCGACGTCCATTAAGAGGGGGTCAGCCATAAGAGGAGGAGAGGACCAGGCAGAGAGGGACGCAGAGGTCA